AAGCTTAATCTTGACTTTCTTTGTCCTTTTCTCCCCACAAAATAGTAGATTTCCAAATTCCCCAAAGGTCATGAGTTTGGCAATGGAACAATGGCATCCCCAGAGTGACTGCCTTGGGGAGAGAGTTTACTCCTCTCTTGGCATGCCGTGGGGGTTGTTGTCTCTCTTGGGTGCTGCAAGCATCATCAAAGTGGATGAGGGCTGGCCACAGCAACAAGTCTGGTCTCTGTGGAGGGGGTAGAACACCAGGTACCTGTAACCCAGGTATTGAGAGGCACCAAACCAGGCATTCTGCCCTATGGGAACTGACTGCAAAGAAAAGTCCTCTAGTTTTCTAGTATTAGGGTGATGAGGTCTCTGTCTATTCACAAGAAGAAAGAGTCACCCTCCACCATTCCCAAACTATGTTAGAAATGAAGAAAGGGGAAGGGAAATAAGCACTTGCTGAGCACTTCGTTTAAATGTGCCAGTCATTATGCTGCATATTTTATATTTAATCCTCACACAACCCTACCAAGTAGAAATGATGACTCTATTTAAAGACAAACTGAAACTCAAAAGAACTTCCTCGAAATGATACAGTTAGCACATTATGGATGCAGAATTCAAACCCAGGCCTGTCTAGTTCTTAAATCCATGTTCTTCCCATATAGCATGCTGCCTCCCAAAAGGAAACACTGCTGTTGTTGTTTTTTTTCTTTTTAAGGTACAAATATAGTTTGACCATTTGGAAGAAGATGCAGCTCGGAACCCATTCCTTTTGTTATAGGCTTGTGCTATAAACACGCATCTTACTCTTAGTTTGACCTTTGTGCCGTGGGCTCATGTCTGTAACACAGGAACCCAATCATTTCTGAACGTCTATCTAACAGTGATACTGTATGCAGCAAATGTTTAATGAATGAATGAGTGAATGTGAATCAATGGCTGGGGGAATACATAAATAAATGAATGAATGAAAGTGAAACTGACGAGCCCATACTGGGACTGAATTGGCAACGTGGGCCTCATGAAAGCAGTGCATGTTAATCACTATTTTTTTTGAGCTTTGTGACATGTTGTTTTGGTGTTTGGAGAAAAAGTCTGTGTGGTGGTGGTCTGGGTTTTTTCACTGACGCAATGGCCCACCTGATATAATGCTGATTTCCATCAGCCACTAAACTTAGCCTGAAGACAAAATTTCCTTTGGAAGGATTCAGCTTAGGGGAACAGATAATAAGGAGGTGGTTATTTGGGGAAACAAGAGTTACTTTACATTCCTATAACATATTTCTAAAAATGAAACACATTCTCAAAGTCAGAAAGTAAGGAAAATCAAACATTGCTCTACTTTGGGTTTTGAAATGAAACATTGATTGTTTGTAGAAGTGATGCTTAATTTGGGGGATAAGAAGCGAACTTCTTTCTATAGCCTCAAGGAGCTAATTAAAATGTGACAAGGCAGTGATTATATACTTAGAGGTATCGATAGGCCCTTAGTTTTCCACAGCACAGATAATCTCACGCCAGCTCTCACTTATGTTAAGTGTTAGACACTTGGTACAGGAACGGATTTCTGCTCTTCCCTATCTCTCGCTGTTCAGGGACCCTGGTCAGTTCCTCAGCATATTGTACCCTAAATGAGATGATGAGACAGCATCGAGCCAACTGAACTAACAGAGAGTGAGGTCGTAATGCTTATCGGTCACTGTTAAAACCCATCCAACCCATTTTGGTATGATTCTTGCAGTTACTAAGGCCTGGCCTTCATTCTCTCTCCACTCAGAATTCACTTTAAGCTATTATAAGAAAGCTAAAGATAAAACAGCTTCTGCATAATGAAACACTAATCCCCAGAGTGTGACGCCCACGACACAAATGAATGCTAGACAGAAGATAACCAAATGTCTAGACTTATTCAAAACCGCTTCTCATAGTTCAAACTTGTACTCACTGCTTCATCAGCTTATGAACCATAAACTGATTTAAAAACACACATGCAAAACTGAACAACAACAAAAAAAACGCTAAGCCCAGTAGAGCCTCTTCAGTCAGGCCTTTTTGTTTGAGTTTATCTATCCAAACACAGTAATGCCTCCTTAAGCAGATACCAGCTTACTGAAAATATACACAATTTGTAGCATCTGAAAGAGAGTATGGCCTTTGTCCTTCAATCTATCGGTGGACTGGAATGTTTCCAGTGTAGTCAATTTTTCTGCCTCTTTAAAATTAAATTAATAAAAGTATACAATTTAAGGATCTGTAGATTTGTGTTCAGCACAATGGACTAAAAGTAGAGCTACTGGATTCCAGAACAAAATGTCACTTATAATTAGCTGAGTATATATGACATCTCAGGCATTGTACCAGGGGCCCAGAAAATTACCTCATTTCATTTTTATAATAATTTTCAGAAGCACCCACTTTCCTAGCTAGGATACCTACCAACTGTGTCCTTAGGCAAATTATCTTCTATCTTGGTTTGTACAACAGAAGAAATAATTTTAAAATATATGGAATACAATAAAATTAAAATATGGCCAATTAATTAATATTAGGCAGTGAAACAAAAAGTGGTTTTTTTGTTTGTTTGTTTTTGGTTTTTGGTTTTTTTGAGACAGTGTCTCACTCTGTCACCCAAACTGGAGTGCAATACTGTGATCTTGGCTCACTGCCACCTCTGCCTCCTGGGTTCAAGAGATTCTCCTGCCTCAACCTCCCAAGTAGCTGGAACTACGGCACCTGCCACCATGCCTGGCTAATTTTTTGTATTTTTAGTAGAGATGGGGTTTGGCCATGTTGGCCAGAATGGTCTTGAACTCCTGACCTCAGGTGCTTCACCTGCCTCGGCCTCCCAAAGTGCTGCGATTATAGGCATAAGTCACCGCACCCGGCCCAAGTGGTTATTATTTCAACACAGAAGTCCTTGTTTACCCGAAGCAGGTGGGAAATAGGGCTTCCTATAAAACCAGAGCAGAAGTAACAGAGAAAAGGATCTGTGAGTGAGTCCTGCCTGGTTCTCACTAGTCCAGCCTTGGGAAAGAGCTGGGACACCACAGGTAAGCACCTTAATTTACCCTCTGCCTGTTCGGCAAAGACAAAGTAAACTAAGTGCCACTTTTATTAATGGGAAATCATCTTACTTATAGCAAAACCAAATGCTCAAAACCTCATTCGTTCTACGGTTATCCGGATCCTTCATGCTGTAGGTAGGGAACAGAATGAGGCTCTGAGAGCTCCCTCCTCCGCGTCTCTGCTGGGAGCAAAAATAATCTCAAAACAGGACAAAGAAGGAGGGGAAATTTTTAATCGGTTTTTTCCCTCCCTTCAAAATGAGTGGGGAGAATTATACATGGGCAGCTACATATGAGCCAGTACATAGAAGTCAATAATGCAAACAAGATAATCAGGAAAGTGTTTAATTTATTCACAAGAAGTACCAAGCTTTCAAAAAAAACAAAAACAAAACAAAAACAAAAACAAAAAAACCCAGACTTTCTTCATCATCCATTTTGCAGTCAGTGTGCTGATAACAAATGGTCATTATCTAGTTTCTGGAAAGTAGTGTCTATGAATTGGAAAAGAAAAATTGGTCAGTAATTTATACGGCTATGTGTACTTGAAGTAATACAACTTATTTTCTTAGAAGGATCTCTCAATATAGATTAAATTAATGTAAAATGTAAAATGACTTTCTCCTAAAAAATGTAAATTAGAGCTTTTTTTTTTTTTTTTTTTTTTTT